TACAATGTCCAACTCTGGGTACACACTTTAAGAAAGAAGTAAACAAATTGAACACAGTCCAGAGGAGAGCAACAAATATGATAAAGGGTTAGAAAACCTGACATATGAGAAAGGGATGTTTAGTCTTTAAAAAAAAGATGAGGAAAGCGGGGAGAAACCCGATAATAGTTTTGCAACATCGAATCATAGAACACTAGAACTGGAAGGGACCTCGAGAGGTCATCGAGTCCAGTCCTCTGTGCTCCCGGCAGGACCAAGCACCGTCTAGACCCCCCTGACAGATGTCTATCTAACCTGCTCTTAAATATCTCCAGAGATGGAGATTCCATAACCTCCCTAGGCAATTAATTCCAGTGTTTAACTATCCTGACAGGAAGTACAGGATATACAGGATCTTTTGGAAAAATGCCCCATTGTCGAAAAAAATGCATTTAAACTGCAGTTTCAGTTTCGAAATGGCGCTTGTTTGAAACAGCACCATGACGCAATTATGCAAATGAAGTGCGGGATATTTGCACTTTCAAAATGCTTCATTTACATCCCTCTGCCGACAGAGGGGTGTAGTTTAGACATAGCCTTTGATATCTGGAAAAAGCTTCTAACTCGAAGGGCAGTTAAGCCCCGGAACAGGCTTCTAAGAGAGGTTGTGGAATTCCCATCTCTAGAGGTTTTTAAAGACTCGTTAGACAAACACCTGTCAGGGATGGTCTGGGTATATTCAGCCCCGCCTCAGTGCAAGAACCTGGACTAGATCCGTGTTTTTCAGCAACAGGTCCATGGACGAGTGCTGGTCCTAGAGATCCCCCTGACACAGTTCAGGAAGGCAACAAGCCTGTCCCTGATATTGAAACGGTAGAGAAACACTGTCTTAGATGAACTCTTGAGGCCTCTTCCCACTCTAATTTCTATGATTCTATGAAGTCACTTAGATTCCTTGCACCCCAGTTAGTGAAAATGCTAATGCTTAGCCCCTCACTGTGGGGGCACAAGATTTAATGAGCTATTTGGACAGCACTTTGGTAACGGAAAGTGCTAGTGATCAGAAGGATATTTAGATCAGTGGGACTACGTGCAAAGTCAGTGTGAATAGGGGCTGCAAAATCTGGCTCCCAGAGTAAAGTCCTGGCTAAACACTAACTGTGAATTGGAGGATGGAAGTGAGAATGTAACAGGTAACATAATGGATGGGTGGAGACCTCAGGAGTCGGGAGAGGAGTTATTTCAGATAATGCAAGAATGTTTAACTAGGAGGAATAGCATGAAACTGGGGGGCAAACTGGAGGTGAATATCAAGGGAAACTTTGTGCAGGTGGGAGGTATTAGAGTGTAAGACAGTTTCCTGAAGGAAAAGCTTGGAGCTAGGGATGCAAAATCCCATTTAACCCACTAACTAGTTACATTTAACTGGTATTCCACGGGCAGGAGCAGCCCATGGTGTGGCAAACCTGGCTGGGTTGGAGCAGCCTGCCCACCCGTGGTACTGCTCCTGCCCAGCTGGGCCTGCTGCACCGGGGGCTGCTCCTGCCAGGGTGGGCTGCTGCAGGCAGGGGCTGCTCCAACCAGGCCTACTGCACCACAGGTGGGGAGCTGCTGAGTGCCCCAGGATGGAGCACCCCCAGCCTGAAGCAGGGTGGAGTGAGCCTGGCCGGGCTGGAGCAGCCCTTCACCTATGTCAGGTGGGGAGTTGCTGAAGCCCAGCTGGGCTGCTGGTTAATCAGTTACATCCCTACTTGGAGCTCTGTCACTTGTGACATTTCACTGTAGATGGTGGTCAAACTACTAGCAATATAGTACAGGGAATGATTCAGCAGCAGCCTCTGGGAGAGACAAGATCATTAACCTGTTTTTTTCCATGTCTGTTTTCTTAAGTCTCCTGATTTCCTCATGTGTATCACCTCCAGGCGTAGCACATCCCAGCAACTTGCATCATATTTTTCCATTCATAGCAGCAGAAATGTAGGTTGGAAAATTATCCCAGACCTCATTTTCTGATTGGGGAAGAGGGCGGATCTGGGAAGACATCAATCTTCTTCAAAGACGGCCCAAGGCAGTTAATTTCCTATCAGTGGGGAACCTCACTAGGGTGTATCTGAGGCAAACGGAAGTGTGTGCATTAGAATGAAAGTAAATTAGGTCTGAATAAGATTAATAGGGATTTAATTGAACTATGCGAACAGAGACTTTGGTCATGAGCTACTTATTAGCCAGCCTCAAGGGATTGTGCTACTTGTAGGGGAGCACAAGGATGTATTGTTGGTGTAATACCTGTGTTCAAAGAAACTACTTCAGCTTTAACACGAGGGGAGCAAGCAAGGAGAGATTTGATCTCATATAATCAAATGGCAAATTAAAAAAAATCCTAACTCACAGATGTATCTGAAGGCAGGCAAGTTTCCTTTAAATAGAACAAGAGAGACTTAGGTCTTCAGCACTCCTTGGAGGGGTAATGACAACCCCCCCCCCCCCCCCAAGAAAGACCCTAAGATCTCAGGGATTAAAGGATTTACCATGTAAGTGCAATTGTTCTTTGTACCCTCTCTCTTAGCTTTTCTGCTGAGTCCCAGGGGTGATGGTCACCAGAGAGAGCCTTGGGTGAACTACTTATTTTCATCCAACTCAGTGAACCACCATCAGACAGTGCAATATTTCAGCCACTGTTAAACTGGTCTGGATTCAAACCAGGGACCTAGAGGCAAAAATCTCCATTATCTGAGCCATCTGATCTCCCCAGGGAACTAAAGACAAAAGTTCCCATCACTGAGCTATCTGATCTCCCCAGTCAGTATCATTAACAAGCAATGTTTTCATCATTACTCTTTTCCCTAGAGCTCTCAGAGCAAAATCCTATGAGACACAAATTAATTTAGTCATGGTATCATTTTCTGTATGCCGGAAAGGTATATTAAAGGACTTTTGCTATCTTTCAAAAGGAGTCAAACACAAACATCTACTGTATCTTACAGTATCAATTAACTAATTTCTTACAGGTGAGGGGCTCTGAGAAGCTGTCTTCTAAACAGTTAGACCATTCTTACAACTATCATTGTGCCTCCACCCACTCACTTCCAAATCAGCAGCTATTTTCATACTGAATGCTCAAGAGGAGGCAGCAAAGTTTAAAAAGTCGGTGTCTGCATTTTTCTAGTTATCTTTATTATATAAACATGTCAAGAGAAGTTAAAATACAATACATATTGTATTACTCATCTGTGAGCAAAGACTCTATGTTTAGCTAATCAGAAGGCTGAACTATATTACCCTAAGAATTAGACCGGAACCTTAAAACACCACAAACTAAATATTCATGATTCCTGTTTAGCAAAGAGTGCTTAAAATGTGAATAGTAATGACATGATGGGTCGATGTGGGGGCCTGCTATTTTAGGGCAATGGCCACACAATCCCCATTATCTGGTATGCTCTTTAGGCTTCAGCACAGCCTCTGCCTTTCCAGCAGCGCGCACAATGCCACAAAATACTCTGTGCTTCCCTTTTAACAAATCAACCCTCCCTAATCAAATCACAAGAAGAGGGACTGCAAAACGGTTATTTTCATTTCCTGGGAATTTCTGGACAGGAATATGGAGCATGCCAAGGAATTCAGGGCCTACAAACTCATTGTTCTTTATCATCTGTTTCATAACATTTCTTGGCTGCATCGAGAGATGACTATAGCTGTGGAGTTTGGGTAGGTGGGGGTCTTCTTTTGTCTATTAGTGTTTTATGCAGTACTCTGTTGAAAATTGCCTTTAGAACAAAGAATGAATTCAAAGGATTCTCCAAGTCCGGTTTTAACCGCCACTAATGTGCTTTCAGCAACCAGTGACACTGACATTCTGTGTAAGCAGGGAGGACAGTACCTATAGTGCAGCTGAGAAGTGATCAGAAGTTTGAGTAGATCTCGGAGTCCTAAAATCCCCAGAAACACAAAAAGGAACAGACAGTTCTCTCTCTCTCCTCGGCAGTGGTAACTTGTACAAGTGCACACATATCGTTTTGCTTATTCTGTAGAACAAATGAAGTGTAATAGCTGACACCCATTAACGGGCATCAGTCCTGCAAGGGGATCCAGGAGACAGACCCCTTTGTCCATTAACCTCAGTGAAATGCAGCACAGTGGCAGTGATCTATCCCTGAATCTGACTGCAGGCCTGGAGCATTAATCAATAGAACCCTTTCCTTCAAAGCAGATCCTGGTGTTGCTCTGAATTCTGAGTGCATTTAGCAGCAGGTTCCCATACTAATGGCCCTCTAGTGATCAAACAAGCCAGTATGTGAGCTGTCATGGGGGGGCGGGGTGGGTACTGCCCTACTGAGCATCTCCTGCTGTAGTACTATATATGTTTCCAATCCTTTCAAGCCACATTGAAATGTAACATTAGATCTGTGGCCCTGAAGTAAGAGCCTGAGGGTGCATGGTTATATAGCAACAGACATCCTCATCTATGTTGCAACACAGCAAGCTTATTGTCCTATGGATTTGGGATTTCCTCCTGGTCCCAGGGCAGGATAATAATTAACTTCAGTGAGAGGAGACACAGGACCAAGCTGCATGCATACCCAAAGCATGCCTAAGAGCACCATGATGGGATGGTTTCCATGCTTTGCTAGCAGCAGAATACTGTACATAGAGTTCTGTTGCCGGCAGGCAGTTTGTAATACTCCTAGCTTCTAACACAACACCCCTGTATTTTGAGGAGCTCTATAATCACCTTGTCCTTGCACTTGTTCAGCTCTTCTCATCACAAGAAGTTTTGAGGTCTCCATATTTCTTTTAGGCTGGAAGCAGAGGGGAAAGATGTTTACATGACTATAGTGGCTGAAGAGAGCAGTCACAGAGTGGTAGCAATAAGGGAAAAGTGAAAGCCCTGAGCTGGGCGAGTCTGGACTTGGGGGAGTTATTACCTAAGGAGAATATTTTTTTTAAAAGTGATAAAGCCATTCCTATTAAGCTGCAAAATACAGTGATAGAGGTAAAAACAACACAAGGCAATACAAAGCTGGGCAGTATGATGTCTTTGATTCATTCGATCCATCTGTCTTTAAAAGAACTTAGAAAAAAGTATCTTCAGTGGCACAACACACGCCTCCCATTCCACGCTTTCATTTTACATCCTGACCAGCATGGAGGAAAGGAAAGTATAAGCTGTCCTTCCCCATCAGAGGTGAGATGATTCATGCTAACCAGGACAGTTAAATTAACCATCTGGCTGTGTGCAGTCCACTTGTCTTTAAGGTTCCTTTACGAGGCCTTTTACCTCTTCTTCTTAGTTTCCTTTTTGGGTTTCTTGCTCAGCTGTGGAGCAACCATCTTCGGCTTCTTCACCACCTCTGAACTTTTAGACTCAAAACAGTCAGAGTCCTACAACAGACAATTAAGAAAGGAACAGTCAATAATGTTTTTGGCCATGAGATTTATATTTCATATCTCAACCCAGTTCAGAATCAGAAGCCTGGTCTATACTAGACCTGGCAGGTCAGTTTAAGGTACACAACTCCAGCTATGCAAAACACATAGCTGGAGTCGGCTTACCTTAAGGAGAGCCATGGTGGTGTCCACACAGCGGGAGGCCGACGGGAGCACACGCTCCTGCTGGCTTTTCTTACTCCTTGCAGAACGAGGAGTATCAGACGCCTGCGTGGGCTGCCCTCAGCTTTCTATTTAGGGGTCTACATTAGACCTGCTAAATTGAAGGCTAGAAGATTGACCTCTAGAGGGTTCATCTTCTCACTAGTGTAGACATGCCCTGAGTGTCTATACCAAAAATTCATCTAACCCTTGCCAACACACATTGCACCCATTGATTTAAACCTGGTTACATAAATTACTGATGCCAGCTGACCCCATTAGCCAGATTTAATTTGATTTAGGAGTATCCATCCTGTTTTCTAAACTGTTTTAAAATCATACATTGTTACTGGTGCAATTCTGGGTATAGACCAGATCTCAAAAGCCAAGTAGAACCACACTCGATTATCCAGTCAAGCTGCTAGGCATTTTACGATGTTAAGGAAAACTCTGAGGAGGAAGAAGAAAGGGCAGCTGTGAAGGAGGGCAGAAGCAGGTAAGTGAAAAAAAATCAAAAATTGGAAGAACAGAAAAAAAATTCTGAAATCAGCTGAAACATTCAACAAGGATTTTACAAAAAGAGAAAACATAGCGATGCAGAAGACAAACCCCACCCTTCCAAAAAACCAAAACAAACCTGCAGTGGGAATTTGAAGCTCAGAATTTCTAATCAAGCTCCCAGATTTAGGACAAAGCTCTCTTTATCTGGACTAACATAGCCTCGAGATAGTCCAATATCTTCCTTCAAGCTAAGACGACAAATAATATTTCTACTATGGGAAACAAACTCTAGTTATCTTGGAAAAAGACAAGGAAGCAGAGCCAGTCTCATCCCAGAAAGCGCACACATGCAGATTGCCTTGTTTAATTAAAAGAGTTTGGATATAAATATTGCTTACACTTCTACATTTCTATAAATCAAAATGTGCCAACTGGAAAAGGACACACAAAAATGGCAGAGAAAGATGTGTTAGTTCCAAGCTTCCAAGAGAGAACTGCAGATAATGCAGGGGGAGGGGAGTAGCTGATGATACTCTTTTAATTAATGAGCTTGGTTCAAATGTTTCTTAACTTACTATGTTATTACTAGAGCCTTGAATATCCATGGATATCTTCTTTATATCTGCAGGTATTCACATGTGCAGATATGAATGCAGATATCCATGGCTCATTTTTGAAGATACGGATGTGGATACACGTTTTGTATCTAGAACCCTGCGTATTTGCGGATTATCTGCTTTATATCTGTGGCTTATTTTTGTGGACGCAGATACAAATTTCATAGTTGTGTAGGGCTCTAATTATTACTACTCATATTTGTGTGCCCTTCCAAGGGAGAAGTCTTGGCTGGCTCACTAAAGGATGTAATCGGTGCATTACTCAAGCTACTGCAACTACTATTCAGAGATACAGAGTTCACTGTTGCCATTAGATGATCACTGCTGCCTTCTAATGTTCAAAACAAGGTACTCTTCAAAGCCTCAGACCCCCGCAAGTGAGAAAAGCTGTTTTGAATTCTACACAGACTCAAGCAATTGGTGTCACTCCCATGACCAGAAGACATCTATTCCTGTTTATAATCTTGTAAATCAATCATATGGGACTTGTCTGCAGCTTCTCTCAGAGGGCAGAGTACGTGTGTGGAAATTTAAGCTGAGCATGTGCACACCAAGGGATGGCTTTAAATAGCAATGGTTCCATAAGCATTACAACTCCCATTCAGTGCCTGGCTTTCAACTCCCTCCTCCAAAGTGTTAACTCTCACCACTGTTCACTTTCAAGGTTCAGACTCTACAAAGAGTCTGCCTTAATTGGTTTCATGTCCAACTGGCTAAAGAACGAGCTAGATCAACACTAATGTGGAAATGTAGATTTGAGACTGAACTCAGCCCTTTGTTTGTGTGCTGGCAGAAACTGGGAGCAATACAGGTACAAGTATACTTGGAAAGTGCCTTGTGTCACAAGAGACTCCCTTGTTCTGAGGGGTCCTGGCAGAATCAGCTGCCCCCACCTTCCGTGGCTGGGGAGGGGTTGTTGTAATGTGGGGCTGTTAAGACAGAAGAGAAGTAAAGGGATCCTTGCAGGAAAACAGGAAATGCGATGAACTAGAGAATCACTGATCAAATAGGTTCTGGCTAGAGATGTGAGTGAGTAGTTGAGTACTTGACTAACCAATAAAGCTAAGCTTATCAGGTAGTTGAGTCAAGTACTCAACTACTTGCTCTCTCTGTCCTGCCCTCCCGCCCCCCCGCTGCCTCTTTATGTAAGGCAGCAAGTGGGTGGGACAGGAGCCAGTCCTGGGGGGAGCCAGCTTAAAAGCTGGTTCTCCCCAGCACCATATCCATGGTGCTGTCTGCTCCCCCCCCCCCTTCAGAGGCAGCAGGGGTGGGGATAGAGGAGACTGCTCCTGCAGCAGCCCCTATATGCAGAGGTCCCAGCGGGGAGCTGGGCCCTGCCCTGTGGACAAGGACTCCTGCTGCGAAGCAGCCCCTGTTCACGATGGCCCAGGCTGGCTGCAGGCAGGAGCTGCTCCAGCCCAGTGCGAGCCAGGTCTGAGCAGTCTTGGCTTGCACCGGTCCAGGACTGATGCACCTCTGCATTTTAAATGTAGTAAGAGCTGGGTGGTTCTTACTACATTTAAAATGGAGAGCTGCAGCGGTCCAGAGCCAGCGCGAACTGGCTCCAGGAGCTACCCCCACTGCAGCGCAGCTCCCTTACTGACTAATCATGTTGTCGATACAAATTGTATTTACTGCACAATGAGACAAATAACCACTCTAACATTCTTGTGACCACCAGCACTTGCCACTTCATGGTGCCCATTCATACTGGTACTGAGCAGAACTGCTTACTGTCTTATGAGACTTTGAAATTGGGAGGATTATGGCCAATACACAGATCAGCTGGAAAATGGCTCCAAAAAAAAGTCCGTATCGCAGCACATTCTCCATGAATGTTGGCTCTGGAACTTCAGGGGGGGAGAAATCCAGCTCGGCAGCCATGGTAGAAGCTCCTTCCTCATTCACGAACACTTTGGAGAAGTCTGCTTTCTACAGTGAAATAACATAAGACTCTTAATTCTGAGCAGTTTTTAGAATTCAGTCAATTTTATTTTCCATTAAAAAACAATCCCAAAGGAAAAATTATGTTGGTGCCTTTTCATGCTACAAAGCCAATAACAAAGGAGGAAACCATAACTCACACTTTAGATGCTGTAATCTTTTGCAATGTGCCAACTATAATAGCCTTCAAATGACCAGAATTGCTTGCTTATGGGTGGGAGGCCAAACAAACTGTGGCATATAGTCTGGCTATAAAGTGATAGCAAGACAGCAATGAACAAGTATATATTTACCCATGAAACTGAGCATGTGATTGCATATTTATTACTACTTACATTTTGCATCACAGGAGAGTGTGAAGGTCAAGAGCTGCACTTTTCCACGATATTAATGGAGGTGTGTGGTCTGGGATGGAGGCTGGGTGCAGAATGGAGCTTGGGGCAGAGGACTGGGGTGCAGGATGGGGCGTGAGTTCTGGGAAGAAGTTTGGGTGAAGGAGGGGGTTGTGACCTGGGGCAGAGGATTGGGATGCAGGGTCCAAAAGGGGGTACACGGCTGCAGAAGATTCTGACCTGGAGGAGAGATGTAGGAGGGGGAACAGGGTCTAGGAGGAAGTTGTGATCTAGAGCAAGGGTGCAAGAAGGGTGAGGGGATTGGGTTGTGACCTAAGGCAGGAGGGGGTTTTGAGCTGGGATTGCAGTTGGGATGCAGGGTCTGGGAGTGGATATGAGTACAGGAGTGGGGATGCATGGGGTTTGGGTTGTGAGCTGGTGCAGGAGAGGGCAGGTTTGGGGGAGGGAAGGATTGGGGTGCCAGGTGCAGGCTCTTTCCGGGAAGTGCTTACTTTAGGTAGCTCCCAGCCAGCAACCCAGTAGAAGCCTTGGTCATGGTTCCTGCCTGTTCAGCCCCTGCATGCCGTTCAAAGCTGTGAGGGCTATGTGCTCTCTGCACACCAGGTGCCCTTTGGGGCAAGGTCTCCATGTCCTGCTTGTGCCACAAGCATGGCCAGGCAGCTCCCACTGGCTGGAAACTGAGACTGAGATTGTGCTGGGGGGTGCACAGCATGCACAGAGAACACGGACCTCGCAGTTGGCTCCTCTGGGAGGCATACGGCGGGCAGGGAATCTGCCTGAGGCTCCCACTGGGCCACAGGCTGGATGCAGCAGGTTGGGGAGATGGATGTGGCCTGCAAGCCATATTTCATCCGCCCCCCTGCTAGATACTACACACAGAGCAAAACAGTCCTTGCCCTGAAAACTGTACTACCTACATCGGGGTGGGCAATCAAAACGCAGTCGCCCACTAGGATCAGTCTCTGACAGGCCGCACCACTTCCTGCTACTCGCATTGGCCACAAACCGTGATTCGTGGCCAACAAGAGTTGCAATCGTCTGATATCTGCAAAAGCACAGGTAAACATAGTGGTGGGAGCCTGCCAGGAACTAACCCTGCAGTCCACATCCAGCCTGCGGGATAGATAACAGAGTATTATCATCTCCATTTGACAGACAGGCTCTGATCCACCAAAGCACTTCACATGTGAGTTGACCCATAAAGTCAGAGGGACTACTCACATGCTTGTTGGGGCTTCTGTGACTTGTCCAAGGTCATACATAGCTTCCTTAAACTCTATTTAAAATACAAGAGGCCAGTCCTTCAACAGAATCTATCCTCAACACAGAGGCTGAGAGGGCTCTACACAGGCACAAGGATCCTCCTACGCAAGTCGAAATGCAGGACTACATTCAAAGTGGTGTCAAGCAAGCATACTCAACTAAACTATTTTATTTTAAAATCTCTACCCAAACCAAGTAAAGGCAGTAATTCTTAGTGAGGAACAGAGCCAGGGCAAATTTTAAACTTCAGTTATTTTTTATCTGGGTATGTTAGAAAGAAAAAAAAAAGTTCCCTGCCCTCATCCTGCTCAAACTGAAAAAGAGCAAGGATTTTTGGAGAATGTTGGGGATAACTTCTTGGTACAAGTGCTGAATGATCTGACCAGGGGCAGTGGGCAGCTTGATCTGTTACTCACAAAAAGGGAGGAACTAATAGGGGAAGTAGAGGTGGGTGACAGCCTGGGAAGCAGTGATCATGAGATGGTAGATTTCAGAATCCTGACCAAATGAAGAAAAGAGAGTAGTAAAATACACACCTTGGACTTCAGAAAAGCAGACTTTGACTCCCCCAGAGACCTGATGGGCAGAATCCGCTGGGATGCTAACATGAAGGGGAAAGGAGGCCAGGAGACCTGGCAGTATTTTAAAGAAGACTTATTGAAGGCACAGAAAGAAACCATTCCAATGCATAGCAAGAGAAGCAAATATGGTAGGAGACCGGATTGGCTTACTGGGGAAATCCTTGGTGAACTTAAGCACAAAAAGGAAGCTTATAAAAAGTGGAAACTTGGACAGATGACAAGGGAGGGGTATAAATGTATAGCTCGAGAATGCAGGGGAATTATCAGGAAGGCAAAAGCGCAACTGGAATTGTGACTTGTAAGAGATGTGAAGGATAATAAGAAAGGTTACTACAGGCATGTTAGCAAGAAGAAGGTGATCAGAGGGGGTGTAGGGCCCCTACTGGATGAGGGTGGTAACCTAGTGACAGATGATGTGGGGAAAGCTGAAGTACTTAATGCTTTCTTTGCCTCTGTCTTCACGGACAAGGTCAGCTCCCAGACTAATGCGCTAAGTGACGCAATATGGGACGAAGGTAGACAGCCCTTGGTGGGGAAAGAACAGGTTAGGAACTATTTAGAAAAGCTAAATGTACATAAATCCATGGGTCTGGACTTAATACATCCAAGGGTACTGAGGGAGTTGGCAAATGTCACTGCGGAGCCTTTGGCCATTATCTTTGAAAAGTCATGGAGATCAGGAGAGATCCCAGATGATTGGAAAAAGGCAAATGTAGTGCCCAACTTTAAGAAAGGGAAGAAGGACGATCCAAGGAACTATACGCCGGTCAGTCTTACCTCAGTCCCTGGAAAAATCATGGAGGGGATCCTCAAAGAATCCATTTTAAAGCACTTGGAAGAGGGGAAGGTGATCAAGAATAGTCAGCATGGATTCATGAAGAGCAAGTCATGCGTGGGCTCTTGAGCCCTCTCTGAACTGCGCACCTGCACAGTACATTTACATTAGATTTCCTCATGTAATGTAGGCGGGGCTTCAAGGAAGGGGCGGGGCAGTGGATCTTCGCCTGTTCTGAGACTTAAAAAGTAATCTTGGGTGTAAAAAGGTTGGAGACCACTGCTCTACAGAGAGCTGTTGCACAGAATCTATGAGTATTATGAGTTGCTTTAGCCAGTAGTATTTAGCCAGTAGTATTAGAGGATTGGGCCAAAAGAAATATGATGAGGTTCAACAAGGACAAGTGTAGAGTCCTGTACTTAGGACGGAAGAATCCCAAACATTGTTACAGGCTGGGGACCAAATAGCTAAGTAGCAGTTCTGCAGAAAAGGACCTGGGGATTACAGTGGATGAGATGCTGGATATGAGTCAACAGTGTGCCCTTGTAGCCAAGAAGGCTAATGGCATATTAGGTTGCATTAGGAGGAGCATTGCCAGCAGATCTAAAGAAGTGATTATTCCCCTTTATTCGGCTCTGGTGAGGCCACATCTGGAGTATTGTGTCTAGTTCTGGGGCCCCCACTATAGAAAGGATGTGGACGTTTTGTAGAGGGTCCAGCGGAGGGTGACCAAAATGATTAAGGGGCTGGAGTACATGACCTATGAGGAGAGACTGAGGGATTTAGGTTTGTTTAGTCTGCAGAAGAGAAGAGTGAGGGGGGATTTGATAGCAGCCTTCAACTTCCTGCAGGGAGGTTCCAAAGAGGATGGAGAAAAGCTGTTCTCAGTAGTGATGGATGGCAGAACAAGGAGCAATGGTCTCAAGTTACAGTGGGGGAGATCGAGGTTGGATATTAGGTAAACTATTTCACTAGGAGGGTGGTGAAGCACTGGAATGGGTTACCTAGGGAAGTAGTGGAGTCTCCATCCCTAGAAATGTTTAAGTCTCGGCTTGACAAAGCCCTGGCTGGGTTGATTTAGTTGGGATTGGTCCTGCCTTGGGCAGGGGGCTGGACTTGATGGCCTTCTAAGGTCTCTTCTAGCTCTATGGTTTTATGATTCTATGATTTTTGCTAAAACTTTCAACATACAATAACTTTTTTTAATTTTAAACACACTCCCACTGATGCCCACTCATTCGTCATTTTACCAAAAATAAATGCACAAAAATAAACCAAAAAAAGGAACTGATACCTAAAGTGTGAAGATAGAGAACTCCCGATCTCATATTGCACAAATCTCCCGTCCCTCTGTGCTTTCCTATTTCATATATCATTGTGGAGTAGGGAAGTTTTCTAAAAATTTCCCCAGCATTGTTAGCAGTGTCAGGACCTCTTGTGTAGATAGTATATCAGCTGCCACCACTATATTAAACACTATGCCATTCGATCTACTGATGATAGATCAAATTTACGCAGTAAAAAAAATCCCACCATTGAAAATGTTTTCTAGTGTACACAGGGCTTCTGTAGATAACAGAAAGTCCCAACCTACAAACATCTACATCTGCATTTAACTTTACACTCATAAGTACCTCCAGAGGGTCTAAGTTAAACATACGCATAAGTGTTTGTAGGTCCTGGATCTTAGTGCAGCATAATGCTTCCAGGATTTTGTCTTCACTGAAAAAAAAAGTGAGTCTTTACACCAAGGCTACGTCTAGACTGGCATGATTTAGTGGAAATACTTTCAATGGAAAAGTTTTCTGTTAAAAGTATTTCCGGAAAAGAGTGTCTAGATTGGCATGGATGCTTTCGCACAAAAGCATCCGTGCGCTGTATAGACGCGCTTTTGCACAAGAAAGCTCTGATGGCCATTTTAGCCACCGGGCTTTCTTGAGCAAAAAATTAAGGTGCCTGCCTACATTGGCCCTCTTGCACAAGTTTTCTTGCGCAAGAGGGCTTATCCCTGAGCGGGAGCGTCAAAGTATTTGCGCAAGAAGCACTGAT